TATTTTCATATCACTTGTATAAAATGTTTTTGATCAAAAGTAAGATTGATCTTTCAAAATATACTTGAACTTAGATCATATCTCGAAAAAAAAAAAAAGACTGGCGGTCAACCGGTGGACCAAGTGGTCGATCGGACGTCTCTAACGGTTAGATTTTTGACCGTTCTAACCTCTGATTTTTCCTATACAAACTGTCATTTTGATCATCCGAAAAGTGGCGGTTGATCGGACCGGTCATCCGATTTGACAGAAACTGACTTTTTCATCTCTATAAATACCAACTCACTTCTTATTTATTACAAAAATTTTTAGAGCATTCAATTGATATTCCTTCGAGCTTACATTTTTACATTCATTTCATTTTTTTTATTCATAGCAAAAACTTTGATTATTGGATCAAATATCTTGAATCATTTCTCTTATCAAAGTTTTTCATTTCTCTTTGCACTTAATTTATCTATATCAATTTTGAAATAGATATATTTACACTTACATTGCATTAACTTTTCTTCTTCATATTGAAACTTTGATTGATTGAATTAAACTTGTATAATCATCATATTGATCAAAGTTTTTCATTTCTCTCTTCGTACTTAATTCATTACAATCATCCATTAAAAGAGATATATTTATTGAGAAGATTTTTGAACTTATATTGTATTTATTTCTTCACCTTCTCATTGAAACACTTTGATTGATTGAATCTAATTTTTGACTATCATATTCATCGAAAAATTTCATCTAACACTTAAACTATCATTTATTACTATTTATTGAAGTATTAGTCTCTTTTAATACTTAATTTGTTTGTATTATTTATCAAGAGAAGAATTTTATTGTAAAATCACTTTGATAAAGTGTGGGTCGTATTGAAATCCCTTAAAGATCAACATTGTATAAGGATTGAAGGATTGGTGCTTCTTGTTGTAAGTCACCATGTGGGTCATATTGAGGTCCCGTAAAGCTCAATAGTGTGGGTCGTGTTGAGGTCCCGGAAAGCTCAACATTGTAAAGGATTGATACTCCTTGTTGTAAGTTACCATTATAGTAAAATTGGCC